GAACGGCCTTGGGCCCAACATATGACGAAATGACCTTATGCCCAACATAATACGGAATGGCTTTAGGCCCAACAAAATACGAAACGGCCTTAGGCCCAACATATCAACAACTGTTTCAAACATTATATGGTAGATGGAATATCGGCATGTCTCCATCTCTCTCAGCCTTAGGGCCTTTAATCACAAACAATCCATATCAAACATAACGGCCTTGGACCCATTATACATAACAAAAACAGAACGACCTTGGGTCCATTTCATGCGTCATTGTACTCCAATGCTCAATCATTCCCAGTAAAACATAACTTGTATAAAACACGTTAAAATACATAAGCATAACATATCGTAACGCTACTATTACTCACAGCGATGTGGTCGAGTAACGATCCCTTTCGGCAAGTGGCCTACACATGGCACACACATAAATTGATTAGCAATGCATCTTTTCTTACCTTCTTCAATTTAATTATTTCTCCATTTCGTTCACTTTCTATTCTTTTTTAAGCATTTCAGAAGGATCAAAAACACACATTAACAAATCTAGAGGGTCGAAAAGGGTAACAAAAGTTGACAAAATATTTTCCCAATTTTCGCACGTGCGGAAATCCCTTACCGCACATGTAGAGAGGCGTGCCGCACGTGTTTGTCCTGTTTTCCGCACATGCGGCTGTGCATCCCAGACGTGCGGCCATGATCCCCGCACGTGCGGTTCTGGGCTCTATTTGTGCAGTCAAAAAAACCAACAAATTCAAGGCTTCCAAACTCATTTCTAAGGGTCAAATCAAGCAATTTCACTTCAAAAACATGACATATGGCTATAATAAACATGAAATTCAAGCTCAATTAGATCAAACTTCTTTTAAATTCCAAATAGACACCCTAACTTCCTTATTTTCTACATTTCCTTCATCTTTTCATAGTATATAGAAATATATATACACACGAGTTCAAAGCATGCAAAGGCTATGATAAAAAGGCAATTGCTCATAATCTAACTCAAGACAACACAAAACACAAGAATTAACCCTTTAATTAACCAAATCCAAAGATTACATGTTAGATTTCATGAAATATAGTCAATCAAGGTCATAACTCATAAACCCTAATTTCTATGAGAGTAAAAGCTTCATCTTAGGTCTTGATTCTAACTAAAATAAGAAGGATTTAGAGTAGTCTAGTTGATTTCCACTTACCTTGAGCTAAATATTTGAATTAATCTTTCAATTTCTTCAATCCCCATGCTCTTGGTTGAATTCTCCTTTCTTTCTCTTTTTTCTTTTCTTCATTTCTCTAGAACTCTTTGTAGGAGATATTTTTGTTTTTGTTGAGTCTAAGTGTTAACTAAGGCTTATATATATCTATACAAACCAAGGCCAAGCTTATTTGAGCTTAAGTTGGGCTTAATTAAGAGGTTTAGCCAAATAAATCTAATTAATTTATTACGAATCAATTTTTACAAAACTTCATATTATGTTCCAAAAATCATGCTCATCATAATTGTAAAGTCAATTTCGGTTTATTGAGCCTCTAAGGCTTTCAATTTTCAATCTAAGGTCACAATTTCAACAGATTTTCTTATAACCAAGAGATACAAATTGATGAACATGCAATTCACACATTAAAACATGGAATTTCACATAAGCACACATATAATGAAGGAATTAAAGCATACGAGAGGGTCTGGTTGTTAGAACTATGATGCACACTACTATCAATACTCACCATCCACTTTCTTTTCTTTAATTATTCTCTTATTCTTTTGCTTTTACTTTAACAAGTCTATAAATAGAGTGGAACTTCAGATGGAGGGAGAGAGGAATTCAATGAGGTTAAGAAAAGAGAGAAAAGAAGGAAAAGAAAAGGACTTTTCTTTTCAAAAAATCTTGAGGGAGATGAATTGGTTTTCAAAAATACCAAAAACTTTCAAACAACCCTTCTATCCACTTATATATACCACCAATACCTCTATTAAAGCTAAAATTTGAAACCTCTTGCTGAGATTTCAAAGCATACTCCGTAACTGTGAGAGTGTAAAAAAGAAAGTTTGATAATTTTGAAAATTCATCCGTTTCTCCAAAGGTGAATTTTTACAATTTTCTCATTTATTTTCTTGCATTTTGTTTACTGTTTTAAATATGTAGTTTCCTTATTTTAATAGTAATATAAATAATACAATAATATATTAATTATATTATGTTGTATATTATTATATTAACCAATAAGAGACTAACAACTAACAAATAATATAATAATATATTAATTATATTATGTTATATATTATTATATTATTATACTATAATAATATATGTTTTCTGTGCAGTAGTGGATGAAACCACCATGCATACTTCTCTCAAATATATGTTTATGTTATATTATTATATTATTTATATTATTATTAAAATAAAGAAACTAAATATTTAAAAGAGTAAAAAATTTGTATATGCATATATATATATATATATATATAAGAAAATAAATGAAATAACTGCAAAAATTTAACTTTGGAGGAAAGTATGAATTTTTTTATTTACCAACTTTCATCTCCCTAAAGATTTTTTGAAAACAAAAAATTTTCCTTTCTTGCCAAATCTTGTTTGTCCTTTCATTGGGGTGACTTTAACAAACACATAATTTCCAACTTCAAATTCAAAATCCCTTCGTCCGTGATCCGCATAACTCTTTTGCCTACTTTAGGCAGTTTTGAACCTTTGCTGAAGATTTTAATTTTCTCCATTGTCAATTGCACAAGTTTAGGCCCAAACAATGATCTATCATCAACTTCGGTCCAACACACTGGAAAGCGACATCTCCTTTCATATAAAGCTTCATACGGTGCCATTCCTATGCTTGAGTGGAAACTATTGTTGTATGCAAACTCTGCCAATGGTAGATAAGGTTCCCAACTCCCCTGGAAGTCCAAGACACACATCCGAAGCATATCCTCCAATGTTTGTATTGTTCTCTCTGATTGGCCATCAGCTTGGGGGTGGAATACCGTACTGAATTTCAACTCTGTTCCAATAGCATCCTGTAAACTCTTCCAAAATCTGGATACAAATTTTGGATCTCTATCAGATACAATTGAAAATGGAACACCATGTAGCCATACAATTTCATTCATATACACCGTAACAAGTTTATCAACATTATATTTGGTTTTCACAAGCAGGAAATGAGTAGATTTAGTTTGTTTATCAACAATAACCCATATGGAATTCATACCTTGAGGTGTTTGGGGTAAGCCAACAATAAAATCCATAGTCAGATGTTCCCACTTCCACTCTGGGATTAGGAGAGGTTGTAGTAGACTCGCCAGTCTTTGGTGCCCCACTTTTACTTGCTGACAATGCAAACATTTCGAAACAAACTCTGAAATTTCTTTCTTTATATTTGCCCACCAAAAATTCTTCTTTAGATCTTGGTACATTTTAGTATTACCGGGATGTAGTGAAAATTTAGATGTATGGGTTTTTTTCCATAATTCTCCATTTAATTCCTGGAACATTTGGGACACACAACCTATCTTGAAATTTCAACACTGAATTTTCAAGGGTGAACCCGAGCCTTGGCTTTGTTTCCATCTCATCACAAACTTTCTTTAGAAAATCATCTTCCGTTTGTCTTTGCTTGATTTTTTCAACAATTGCTGGTTGAGACGATATTGCTGCTAACACGGCGCCTTGTTCACGTAGCACAATTTCCATGTCCATTCTTTCCAACTCAAGGAGCAACTCTTTTTGCCCTATTAGCAAACTTGCTAAATTCCCCACAACTTTCCTGCCGAGAGCATCTTCAATTGTATTAGCTTTGTCAGGGTGGTAACGGATTTGCAGGTCATAATCCTTGATAAGCTCTAACCGTTGTCTTTGTCTCATATTTGACTTTTTTTGGGTAAAGAAGTACTTGAGGCTTTTATGGTCAGTGTAGACCTCACATGTGGTACCATACAAATAATGTCGCCATATCTTCAAAGTAAAGAACACCACAGCTAGCTCCAAGTCGTGTGTGTGATAATTCTTTTCGTGAGGCTTGAGTTGACGAGAAGCATAAGCAATGACCCTTTCATTCTGCATAAGTACACATTCCAATCCTTTGTATGAGGTGTCACTATAAATCATAAACTGATTTGTACCAGATGGTAAAGGAAGAACTGGTGCTGTAGTTAACCTTATCTTCAATTCTTGGAAGCCTGATTCTCTTTGTTTTGTCCACTCAAATGAAACATCCTTTTGGGTCAATTGGGTAAGCGACACTGCAATCTTGGAAAAGTCTTGAACAAACCTTCGGTAGTATCTTGCTAGAGCCAAGAAGCTACGCACCTCTATTACATTCGTAGGAGTTGGCCAATTCACAATAGCTTCTATCTTGTGTAGATCAACAGAAACACCCTCCTTATTAATTACATGTCTCAAAAACACCACTTCATGCAACCAAAACTCACATTTCTTCAATTTCACATACAATTTATTCTTTTTCAATGTTTGTAGAATTAATCGTAAATGATCCTCATGAGCTTCCCTGCTTTTCGAATAAATGAGTATGTCATCAATAAACACAACCACAAAGTCATCCAAGTATGGTTATAAAACACGGTTCATCAAATCCATAAAGGCCGTTGGTGCATTAGTAACTCCGAATGGCATAGCCAAAAATTCATAATGGCCGTATCTGGTTTGAAAAACAGTCTTCTCAATGTCTTCGGCTTAACCTTTAATTGATGATATCTAGATCTCAAATCTATTTTTGAAAAGGCTTGTGCACCCTGTAGTTGGTCAAACAAATCATTGATTCTAGGCAAGGGATACTTATTCTTTACAGTCACTTTATTGAGCTCCCGATAGTCAACACATAACCAAAGTGTCCCATCTTTCTTCTTTACGAAAAAAATTGGTGCACCCCAAGGAGAGGTACTCAGGCAAATGAACCCTTTTATCAAGCAAGTCTTGCAACTGTACCTTCAACTCTTTCATTTCAGCCGGTGACATTCTATACGGAGTTTTTCAAATTGGTTGAGTTCTTGGCACTACATCAATTGCAAATTCAATTTCACAGTCCACTAGCTCCCCTAGCAACTCTTCTGGAAAAACATCCGGGAATTCACAGACAGTTGGAATATTATCAACACAAACATCTGCTGGTTGTCCATTCAAAATACTACACAACTACTCCTGATAACCTTTTTGCAATAGCTTATACGCTTTCATAGTTGAGATCAAGTACGGTGGTGGAATCACTCCATGTCCCGTAAAAATAAATTCAGATTGTCTCGGAGGTCAAAAAATGACTTGCTTAGACGTACACTCAATAGTCATATGGTATTTACTTAGCCAATCCATTCCCAAAATTATATCAGAATGAGCCATGTCAAGAGACAGCAAATTGGCATATAACTGAACATCCCCAATCAAGATCTCACATGCAAGATAAATAAATTTACATAACATGGAATCCCCCAATGGTGAAGAAACACACAACACATAATAAAAGGGTTCCATAGGACTATTCAAATGACTAGCAAATGTTTTTGACACAAATAAATGGGTAGAACTCGAATCAAATAATACATGAGTAGAGTGACCATCGAAAGAGAATGTACCTGATACCATAGCCTCAGTATTTTGTACATCACCAAGAATGAGGGCAAACACTCTTCCCTGTCTAGCATTATCTCTGGTATTGATAGGTTTTGCAGCAATTTTTATAGTTAGAGCTGGAGTTGAGCCGACTAAACTTGTAGTGGTTCTATTCCCATTTTGTCGGTCTCTCTGAGGGCAATCTCTCACTAAGTGATCTGTTTTTCCACACTTGAAACATACCCCAGTTACCCGATAACAAGTCCAGCTGAGTTTATTTCCATATTCCAGATAAACTGGCATCGCGTCATGAGTAAAGGCGGAAGTACTAGAGGTCCCTAAATTCGGTTTCTTATTCTATGATGACACCGGTCCCCTAGTGCTTGCGTATTCTATCTCATCCCCTTTCACTCAGAGATATGAGTTTGAGAAACAATATTCCCTTCAGCCATTATTGCCCATTCCAACACATCGACATATGTAGGCAATTTCAATACATTAATATGATCTAGGATGGCGTTCTGAAGACCTCCTTCAAACTTTCTCACTTTCTTGTAATCCGTATCCACCATATGTGGTACGAAACAGGCTAACTCTGCAAATTGCGCTTCATACTCTGTTACCGTCTTGTTTCTTTGCCTCAAAGTCTCAAATTCTGTCACTTTCTTATCTCGCATACACTGTGGGAAATATTTGTCATAGAATAGCTCCAAAAACCGAGTCCAGTTCAATGCCAGATGTTCATTTCTAGTGAGTATCTACCATCTCCATGCTTTATCTTCGAGAGTAAAAGTGGCAAGTTGTACTTTCTATGCTTCGGTGCATGGATAGACCTCAAACAATTTCTCTATACCCAGTACCCATGCCTCTGCTTTCATCGGATCAATGCCCCTCTTCAACAACAACGGTTTCATCTTCTTAAACTTTTTTGTAAGTGCAATTGTTTCGTCCTTGGCTTGATGGTCTTGCACCACTAGTGGTGGTACAGGCACAGGTGCCGGTGGTGGTTGCTATTGTTATTTCTTCAGAGTTTCTACCATGTCCATTATCATTTGTTCCAATCTATCAAGCTGCATGGACATTGACTCCTCCACTTCATCTGCTCTCATTCTCACCATGATCTATATAACAATGGATTATAATACACACAGAAAAGATACACAAGTACACAGTGACAATATTCATTTCATATGCCATAGCATTGTTCACATATACAAATCATGTTACCATATTTCATATAGCATGCATATCAGAAGGAAGCAAGATGAATGTAACCTAAGTCTTTTCTAGACTCCTTAAAACTCAAATGGACCCGTGTGTGAGGGAGTAACTCGTGCTCTTATACCAACTGTCACGACCCAAACCTGTCCCTAAAAATTTAGGCCATGACCGACCTGTACTTAGGCCGCAAAACAAAAATTTCAAACATATGTTATTCAGTATTGGGGCCTAAAGTTAAAGCCAATAAACAACAGAACGTCCATTGAACAGTGCTTATATGACAGGATTTTAGTCATATCATATAAGGAGTTCACTTACACAGTTTCTGTATACAAGTCCAAGTCATGTACGTATATACAAAGAGTTAACAACCAAAAATTAACATATTAACCAAGTGTTCAACAAAAGCCACCAAATACTTAAACAAAAATGTGGTATCAAAGGCACTCCTCAAAAGACAAAAGGCTCTAACTGTGAAGGCTTAACAAAATAGGTCCATCAGAAATTTCATGAAGCTGACCTAGGGCTGGCCTCCAAGCTGATCACCTACAGAAACATATAAAAATACGGAGTGAGTAAGGTTCAGTGAGTAATAATAATGCAAGGAGGTTCATAAGAATGAGCATATGTCTTGAAGAATAAAGATCTAATCATCTACATGTCTTATCCATAATTACATTCCAAAATGGCCTCGGGCCCACATAAGACAGAACGACCTTGGGCCCAACATATGATGAAATGGCCTTAGGCCCAACATAATATGAAACGGCCTTAGGCCCAACATATCAATAACTGTTTTGAACATTATAGGGTAGATGGAACATCGACTTGTCTCCATCTCCCTCGGCCTTAGGGCCTTTAATCATAAATAATCCATATCAAACATAACGACCTCGGGCCCATCATATATAACGGAAACAGAACGATCTCGGATCTATTTCATGTGTCATTGTAGTCCAATGGTCAATCATTCCCAATAAAACATAAATTGTATAAAAGATGTTAAAATACATAAGCATAACATATCGTAACACTACTATTAGTCACAGTGATGTGGTCAAGTAACGGTCCCTTTCGGCAAGTTACCTACACATGGCACACACATAACTTGATAAGCAATGCATCTTTTCTTACCTTCTTCACTGTAAGTATTTTTCCATTTCGTTCACTTTCTATTATTTTTTAAGCATTTAAGAAGGATCAAATACACACATTAATAGATCTAGAGGGTCGAAAAGGGTAACATAAGTTAACAGAATATTTTCCCAATTTCCGCACATGCGGAAGTCCCTTACCGCAGATTGCGGAGAGGTGTGCCCACATGTGCTTTTATTTCAAAATGCGCAACTTGTCTCCCCTGTTTTCCACACGTGTAGCTATGAGCCCCGCACATGCGGCCATGATCTCCGCCTGTGCAGTCCTGGGCTCTATTTGTTCAGTCTGAAAAACCAACAAATTCAGGCCTTCCAAACTCATTTCCAAGGGTCAATTTTAGAAATTTCACTTAAAAACCATGACATATGGCTATAATAAACAAGAAACTCAGGCTCAATTAGATCAAATTTCTTTCAAATTCCAAATCGAAACCCTAACTTCCTTATTTTCTTCATTTCCTTCATCTTTTCATAGTATATGCAAATATACATATATACACACATGAGTTCGAAGCATGCAAAGACTATGATAAAAAGGTAATTGCTCATAATCTAACTCAAGACAACACAAAACACAAGAATCAACCCTTTAATTAACCAAATCCAAAGATTACATGTTAAATTTCATGAAATATAGTCAATCAAGGTCATAACTCATAAACCCTAATTCCTATGAGAGTAAAAGCTTCATCTTAGGTCTTGATTCTAACTACAATAAGAAGGATTTACAGTAGCCTAGTTGATTTCCACTTACCTTGAGCTAAATCTTTGAATTAATCTTTCAATTTCTTCAATCCCCAAGCTCTTGGTTGAATTCCCCCTTCTCTCTCTTTTTTCTCTTCTTCATTTCTCTAGAACTCTTTGTAGGAGATATTTGTGTTTTTGTTGAGTTTAAGTGTTAACTTTAAGGCTTATACATATATATATATATATATACAAACCAAGGTCAAGCTTATTTGAGCCTAAGTTGGGCTTAATTAAGAGGTTTAGCCAAATAAAACCAATGAATTTATTACGAGTCAAATTTTTACAAAACTTCATATTATGTTCTAAAAGTCATGCTCATCATAACTGTAAAGTCAATTTCGGTTTATCACGACTCTAAGGCTTTCAATTTTCAGTCCAAAGGTCACAATTTCAATAAATTTTCTTATAACCGATAGATACAAATTGATAAACATGCAATTCACACATTAAAACATGGAATTTCACATCAAACACATAAGCACACATATAATAAGGGAATTAAAGAATATGAGAGGGTCTGGTTGTTGCAACTATCATGCACACTACTATCAACACTGACCATTCACTTTCATAATCACACACTGCCATCTTAAACATCCATTTTCTTTTCTTTAATCTTCTCTTATTCTTTTGCTTTTACTTTAACAAGTCTATAAATAGAGTGGAACTTCAGAAGGAGGGAGGGAGAGGAATTCAACGAGGTTAAGAAAAGAAAGAAAAGAAGGAAAAGAAAAGGATTTTTCTTTTCAAAAAATCTTGAGGGAGATGAATTGATTTTCAAAAATACCAAAAACTTTCAATCAACCCTTCTATCCACTTATATATACCACCAATAACTCTATTAAAGCTAAAATTTGAAACCTCTTGCTGAGATTTTAAAGCACACTCCGTAACCGTGAGAGTGTAAAAAAGAAAGTTTGATAAATCTGAAAATTCATCCGTTCCTCCAAAGGTGAATTTTTGTAATTTTCTCATTTATTTTCTTGCATTTTCTTAGTTTCTTTGTTGTAATAATAATATAAATAATACAATAATATATTAATTAAATTTTGTTGTATATTATTATATTAACCAATAAGCAACTATCAACTAAGAAATAATATAATAATAAATTAATTATATTATTTTGTATATTATTATGTTATTATACTATAATAATATATGTTTTCTGTGTAGTGGTGAGTGAAACCACCATGCACACTTCTCTCAAATATATGTTTATATTATATTATTATATTATTTATATTATTATTAAAATAAAGAAACTAATTAAATAGTAATATATATATATATATAAGAAAATAAATGAAAAAATTATAAAAATTTAACTTTAGAGAAAAGTATGAATTTTTTTATTTACCAAACTTTCTTATTTACACCCTCACGATTATGGAGTATGGTTTAGAATCTCTGCAAGAAGTTTCAAATTTTAGCGTTAATGGAATTGTGGGTGGTATATATCAGTGGATAGAATGGTTGACCGAAAGTTTGTAGTGTTTTTGAAAATCAATTCATCTCCCTCAAGATTTTTTGAAAACAAAAATTCTTCTATTTTCTTTCTTTTTGCCTTTTTCTTTCTTTCGTCTACCTCGTTGAATTCCTCTTTCTCACTCCCTCCTTTTGAAGGTCCACTCTATTTATAGACTTGTTAATGTAAAAGCAGAAAAATAAGAGAATAGTTAAAGAAAACAAAATGGAAGTTAAAGATGGTGGTGTGTGATTTTGAAAGTGGATGGTGAGTGCTGATAGTGGTGTGTAATATGAAAGTGGATGGTGAGTGTTGATAGTAATGTGCATTAGGAGACATTTTCCATCATTTGCTTTCATTTATCTTTCTTTTCCTTTCTTTTATCCTCTCTCATTTGAGTATGTGAGTGGATTTCTCCATCGAAAGATTTTTTTTTTTTTATATCTTTCGGTGGAGAAATCCACCTGTGGGGGCCGAATATCGGGAGACATAAAGAGGCCGAATAGTTGGACCTGGAGAGTCGAAATTCATATATCGCATTTGGCTCCATCTTATACATACAAATCCAGAGGTACCCTATTCGGCCAAATAACTAGTTGAGTAAGGGGCTGAGTGAAGAGCGATTTGCAACAAAAGGAGCCGAATAAATAGTTATTCGACGAATTGAAGATGGACCTAGCCCTGAAGCCCAAGAAAGAAAAGATATAAACAGA